ATGTAACTTTATTAAATAAAAACATTAACCATCTGATAAATTGTAGGGTAAATGTTATAAATATAAATGTGAATCTAATGAAAAATTGGTTATTGAAGTAGGAGATTAAAAGGTCATTTGTACTTAAAACTTAGCATAAATGAAAGTTGACGGATTTCATGGATATATTAAATTCCGTACACTTATTGTGTTTATACTGAGTGTTACATATTTTAAATATTCCAGCATTCCTTATATTAATAAACCTAAAGTGTATAACAATTAGGCTCATTAAATTAACCAGCATAAAAATTGAAGCTCAATATGGGAGAAATCACAAAAATCTATATCAATTGAAGGAATACAAAATTCATTTCTAGTAGAATACATTAACCAGTGACGTGTGACAGCTGCTCCTTTCCTTAGAATATTTCTCTTCCATAGATTCTTTTATTTCTCATAGAAGCCTGTGTCTCTTAAAAGATTGGCTGTAAAACCACTAAAATATGATTATAAAGATTATTATTATGAATTCATATATTCGGTATTAATTATTGTGTTTTTCCAATGTGAATTTACAGAACCTTGGCCTCCTAAATTTTCAAGAGGTATACCAGTTAAGGAAGGACAATTAAAATATTTACGAGCAAACTGCAAAACTTTAGGCGTTTTGAGAAATAAAGCATCAATTCCCCTTAATTTTTATATGAAAGTAGGTTTAGGATAAAGACTTTTATCAGATTATATCCATAAAGGTATTGAATGTTCTGAAAAACCCAAAACATGAGTCATTTCATGGATAACTATTTCTAATATATCTTAAAATATATATTTTTCATTTAAATCTTTTTCTTCTAATTAACCCAAATTAAAAGTAATTTAACCATGAGAAGGTCCTACCTTATACAGAAATTAACAATTACTAGCAAAGGCTACAAAAGATAATTATTTATTATTTAGATATTATGCATATATATGTAAATCAGAATCTTTTCCATTATCTTTGTCTATTTAAGAAATTGTAACTTCTCCAAATTTGTCAAGATCAGATTAAATTTCATTTGTTTTTCTGATTTCGGAAATATTTTTATTAAATCAGAAAAAAAATTAAATGCTGTTTTTAAAGCTTTCTCACAAGTATCGATAATCAATTTATTTTTAGGATTTTTAGGTAAATTTGAGAAATAGGACATATCGTAAGTTATAATCATCTTACGGGGCATTTTAGTTTTTAAATTAATTACGAAAATATGTATAATGATCATCAATGGAAATTACTTTGTAAAAATAGAATTTTTATATTTAATCATGAACACATTAGTGTTAGAGTATATTTAAACCAAAAATAAAAGTTAAATAAAATAAAAATATTATTAAAATTTTATTAATTATTAATAAATTAATATGAATTTATTAAAAATAATATTTAAGAAATTTATATTCAAAAATAAATAAATTTATATTTTAATTAAATATATTAAATTTAATATTTATAAATTTTTATAATAATAAAATATAAAAATAAATATTAATTTATATATATAATAAATATTTAATATATTTCATAAAAATAGAAGAAAAAACAAAATATATGATTATAAATAATTTTAAAAATTTATCATTATATTTTAAAAAAAATAATATTGATTATTAAAAAATAATATATATATATATATAAATATAAATATAATATAATTTAAATATAAATATAAATATAAATTTAATTTTTTATTCTTAATAAAATGGATAATATAATGAATTTTTTATAAAAAAACTAATAATTTTAATTATCTTATTGCTATGTTTTTATATATTCTTCGTTTTCAATTCCTAATTCTTTTAATTGTTTGATAGTTAAATTAATTGAATCTTTTATATGTTATGGCGGATCTAATAATAAGTTTATAATTTAAAAAAAAATGTTTTTAAATATATATTAAATAATTTAAAACCTAAAATTTCTTATCTTTATAACATTTTATTTTTTTAAAAAAATATATATAAATAAATATAAATATATATAAATAAATATATATATATATAATATATATAAATTTAAAAATAATGAATATGTATATATTAATTATTAATCATTTAATTAAATTATGAATTAATACTTTAATTAATTTAAAAAGTTTATATTAAGCATTAACTATTTAATATATTATATTTTATAGTTAAATTGTATTATTTATCTTATAATTTTTTAAATAATTAATCTTTTTTTTTTATTTAATTTAATTTTTATTTATTTATTAAATATTTTTCTTAAAATATATTTATTTATTTATTTATATATATATTTTTTTTTTTAAAATATTTATTTATATTATTTATTTTATTATTATAATATATAATATCTATCCTTTAATAAATATATTAAAATATATTTTTTAAATAATATTTTTATATATATTCATTAAATACTTATTTTTAAAAAAAAATTTAAATATAAAAATATACTTATTACTATTTTTAAAAGTAATTGTATTATTTATCTATTATAATATAAAAATAAACACTTAATTTA